TAAATTTATTTTATAGTTAAAAATAAATTTTCTATAATAAAATTACAATCGATAAATTCAATGTCAAAATTTCATCAATTTCTAACTTCTCTGCTATTGTCTGTCCCCCACAACATTACCTGACCACTATTCATACATCACCCTTCATATATAAAATTTAAATATTATTTGATAAAATTTAATATTAATTAAATAAATTTGGTCTTAATATGATAAATTTAAATATTAATTTGATGAAATTAAATAATAATTTAATGTTAAATTAAAGAAATAATATTAATTTGATGAAATAAAATATTAAATTAATATAACTAAATGCTAATTTAATAAAATTAAATATCAATTTGTGTTGATTTGATAAGATGGAATGTTAATTTAGTTTAAATTAAATAAATGACATTAATTTGATAAAATTAAATATTAAATTGATGAATCTAAAAGTTAATTTAAAGAACTAAAAGGAAGTGCATTAAAATTTTAGAACCAAGCGAGGGGATTGTTAAACATACATCTATTTATAGGGGATATCGTTGAAGTTATATCTATTTACAAGGGGCGTGATTAAAATTTATCCTATAAAATATTCAGGCGTATTTTTGTAAATTAACAATCGTCGTTAACGTTGTAATTCGACAAACACTGACAGAGGATGACAGTGAAGTCTCAGAATCCGGAAGGGGTGTCATTGAATTTTGACCTAATTACAGGAGGTGAAGATGAAATTTTCCCAAAATAATAATGTTAGACTGATTAGAAAACTAGAGATTAAATGATATGACAATTAATACGACATGTAAATATTGAATACTAAATGAATAAGTTGGACTAAGAGAATCATTACTGGTAAATATGTATTTTCTCTTTTTTTGTTCAATAAAAATATTGCACGTGTAAAATTTCATCCACACCTCCTGTAATTAGAAACAATTTCAGAAAAAATTTCATCAACACTTCCTGTAATTAGATCTAAATTCAATTATACTACCTCCCGATCTAAAACTTCATTGTCACCACTTATTAGTGTTTGTCGAGTCACGGCGTTAACAACAATTGTTAATTTACAGAAATACCCCCTGAAAATTTTATAAGGTAAATTTTATCCACACCATTTTGTAAATAGATATAACTTCAACGATACCCCCTATAAATATACATATCTTTAACAATATCCCCGCTCGATTCGAAATTTCAATACATTCTCTTTTAGTTCTATTATATTAACTTTTTGGTTCATCAATTTAATATTTAATTTTATCAAATCAATATCATTTATTTAATTTAAACTAAATTAACATTCCATCTCATCAAATCAATACAAATTGATGTTTAATTTTATCAAATTAGCATTTAGTTATATTAATTTAATATTTTCTTTCATCAAATTAATATTATTTCTTTAATTTAACATTAAATTATTATTTAAATTCATCAAATCAATACCAAGTTGAAATTTAATTTTATTAAATTAAAATTTAATATATTAAATAGAATATCAAATTCCATTAATTTAACATTTAACCTTATCAAATTAATGTCAATTATTTAATTTAACACCAAATGAACATTCAATTTCATTAAAGCATCATTTAAAATTATTTAATTAATATTAAAATTTATCAAATCAACACTGAATATAAATATTAAATTAACACCAAATTCATATTCAAATTAAAACCAAATTTTGTTCAATTATTATTAAATTTTATGAAATAATATTTAAAATTTACATATGAAGGGGTGATGTGTAAAGAGTGGTCAAGTAACGCTGCGGAGGACAGACGATAGTACAGGAGTTAGAAATGGATGAGATTTTGACATAAATTTTATCGATTGTAATTTTTATTATAGAAAAATTATTTTTATCTATTGAAATTGTAAAAACTCGATTATGTAACCAAATGATAGATAATATGATTGCTAATGTTATAATAAAGTTAACATGAAATACTTTAAAATGATAAAATTCATTGGGATAATATAATGATAAAAATCACGCTTATGTCAAACTCCTCCTACCCTATGTCTCAACCTCCGCCAACAGTTAAAGAAGACATCTATCTTGTAATAATACATCACAACATATTGACATAACAAAATGGAAGAAAAAAAATTAAAAAAAAGTGCATGAACAAAATTAAAAAAATTTGCATGAAAAAAATTAAAAATATTTCCATGGAAAAAATAAAAAAAAAAACTACAAAAAAAAAAAATTTAACAAAAAATTGCATGAAAAAAATTAAATCTATCTGCATGAAAAAAAAATTAAGAAAAAATTGCATAAAAAATTTAAAAATATCTACATGAAACAAAATTTTTTAAAAAAAACTGGATGAAAATTTTTTTAAAAAAAATAACTGGATAAAGAACATTTACAAATCTGCAAGAAAAAACATAATTTTTTTTAACCAATTTAGGTAGTGAACGATCACAGTCGAGAACGAGTTGAAGAAGAATGGCTGGCTTCAGTCTCCTATGTCTTCCAGCAACACCAGATTATTTTTTACTTTCAATAACAACAAAGGATATGGTATTTATAGTGGGAAAAGGATTGCGTGCATTTTAGTATATTTACATAAGGAATGGTAGTTTGGATATTTTTAGAAAATTTATAGTCAAGTAGTTACTTTTTGTACTGACAGAGTTAAAACTTACCGTTAAAGGGGTGCATTTGATTTGAAAGTATAAACCAAAAGGAGGTGCATTAAAGTTTTAGAATCGGTAGGGGGTGTCATTGAATTTAAACTTAATTAGAGGGGGTGTGGATGAAATTTTTCTAAAATTTTATTATTTTACTTTAAGTTTTTATTTTTAAGATTAATGTCAGCAAAAAAAACAAAACGACAAATTTGGGGGCAGGAAAGTGAAACGCCAGACGAAAAGACCCATCACGTTTATAAGTCATCAAAAGCGTGGTCCACAGCCTAACTCAAGAAAATGAACAAAAAAAAAAACTAAACGACAAATCTAAGGCAGGAAAGCAAAACGCCAGACGAGACTAACTCAAGAAAATGGCTTAGGCATGGGAACTTTTACATGGAAGTCCGTATACATCCAAAATAAGGACATCTATTGAGAATTTTGGTACCATGTCGAACATCAAAGGGGGGCTAAAAGCTGATTTTTTCACTGCAGAATAATGCAAAAATTAACACGTGTAAAGCAAAAGCAAGGCAACCGGATGACAACCGGTTACCACAATAACAAAGATAATGGTATTCTTACAAAGTGAGTGGAACCAAATACAATGACAATAGTGTATTTACGACATCAGTAAGAAATGTAAAAAATTAATGGGATAGGTACTAAAGTAAAGGTATATTTACAACAAAAGTGAAAAAATTTATGACTCCACAGCAATGAGTGAGTTACAAATATTATGGAATATTTACAATATAAGTTGCAAGATTTACAACAATAATGGGTACAATAACAAAGATAATAGTATTATTACAAAGTGAATGGAACCAAGTACAATGTCAATGGTGTATTTACGACATCAGTAAGAAATGTAAAAAAGGAATGGGATAGGTACAAAAGTAAATATATATTTACAACAAAGTGAAAAAATTTATGACTCATAGTCAATGTAATGGATGATCGATCAATATAATATATGATCGATCGAATAAATGTATGATCGATCATTATGTGGAAAGGTGTTGAGTAAGAAAATGGAATTTTTGAAAGAAATAAATAAATATATAATTTGACCGATCATGAATATGAATGATCGATCATAGTGGCTCAATAAGGTGTTTTTTCTAAAAAATTGCATGTTAACAATATTACTAGGTAAAAGTACAAAATTAATGGTATAATTACAACAAGATTGAGAAATGTTGAAATTCAGTGGGATTGCAATCGATCAATTATGTATGATGATCGATCATGGAGGTAATGATAGAGAAGTTGAAGGGGAAGTGGTATTGCGATCGATCAATTATGTATGATGATCAATCATGGAGTTACTGATGGAGAAGTTGAAGGGGAAGTGGGATTGCGATCGATCAAGTATGTATAATGATCGATCATGGAGTTACTGATGAAGAAGTTTATCGGGCCAGTGGTATTGCGATCGATCAATTATGTATATTGATCGATCATGGAGTTACTGATGGAGAAGTTGAAGGGGAAGTGGGGTTACGATGGATCAAGTATGTATAATGATCCATCGTGGAGTTACTGATGGAGAAGCTTATGGTGCCAGTGGGATTGCGATCGATCAATTATATATGATGATCGATCATGCCGTTAGTGATGGAGAAGGTTATGGTGGTAGTGGGATTGCGATCGATCAATTATGTATAATTGATCGATCATTGAGTTACTGATGGAGAAGGTTATGGTGCCAATGGGATTGCAATCGTTCAATTATGTATATTGATCGATCATGGCATTAGTGATGGAGAAGGTTATGGTGGCAGTGGGATGGCGATCGATTAATTATGTATAATGATCGATCAAGGAGTTACCGCTGGAGAAGTTTAAGGAGCAAGTGAGATTGCGATCGATCAAAAATAAATAGGATAGATCAAAAGTTGATGTATTTACTTAAATGCCCACAAAGAGCAATAAATTTAAGTGTTGTAAGGGGGGTTTTGTAGTAAATAAGCATCGGCTTACCCAAATAAATCCCCAAATCTCACAAAATTACCCCTAAGTTTCTTGTGCCTTCCATTCTCATTCAAAATCCCTTCCAAATCCGACAATACCCATTTCAAACCCATTAAAAATCCTACAAAATCCATTGAAAATCCATTCCAAATCCTACAAAACTCATTCAAAATCTCCCAATTCCATAAACCCTAAATCGCCCACCACCCCAAATCTCTTTCATCGATTGATCGGGTACACAAACTACTTCGCTCGATCAAACTACTTCCATTGTCAATCTTCCATTTTCAATCTTCATTCGAAGAAGAGTGAAAATTTGCATTGTGAATGTTCGTTGTGAATCTTTGTTGAAGAAGAGTGAAAGAACCACATTTGGAGCTGTGGTGATGTCAGGCGGAGAGGCGAAGAAACGGAAGAAGGTGGTTAGCGGGGGGAGTTCTGGGAATGCCAAACTCTTTGTGCATAAAGATACTAAGAAGAGGTATGATTTATTCATTGTTAAACGTCCTCTGTTAATTGAGCGTGGTGTTTACCTTGATGAGCTAGTAAGGAGGGTGGATTCCCCTGAAATACTTCGGGCTTGAAAATGGGAACCTTTGTGTGATGTGAATGTGGATGATAAAACATATGTTGAACTAGTTAAGTTTTTTTATGTAAATGTTCATGAGTACAATGAGAATGAGCTGACATTTAAGACACTGGTTAGGAAGAAATTCATCACTGTTTTGCCTGATCTTATTTCAAATATATTAAAAATTAATAGACCAGACATTCCTAAGAATTCCATTGTCTTTCCATATTCAAGTAAGGAATAGGCTCCTAAAATGGCGACGGTTATTCAACGTATTTGTATTGGGAGTGTCTCTTGGGAGAATGAGAAAAATAAAATTTCTCACATTGACCTTACTCCAACGTATAGGATGATAAATCAAATTCTTGCCTGTAATATACATTTGAGGGGGCATACTGCTAAGATTGGATACAATTCGGCCCAACTATTATATGCTATTGCGGAACGTGAGGTTATTATTGATCTACCCCTTTACATATTCAACCATGTTCGTGAAGCATCTACTGTTGAGAATGGTAGGCCATGTCTTCCATTTCTAATATTAGTTTCCAAGATTTTGAAGCATAATGGGGTTGAATTTCAGCAGAATGACAGTTTTATTTACCCCATGAATCCAATGGGTATGGATACACTTAATAAAAGTGTGGGAGCTATTCTGGGTGTGAAACGGGGCAAGCATGTGAAGCAGGCAGCAGCGGTGCCTCAGGTTGTGGGTAGTCAAGCTGGGACTAGCCAAGTTGGTTCTGATGTTGGCACTAGTAAGGGTCAACAAACACTTCAGCAAATAGTTGAAAAGTTGGAGGCCTGATTTGAAAAGTTTGAGGATGAAATGACGTTGCAGCATCTGGAGTCAAAATTATATCATTATTATAAGGACTTTAAAGAGTACATAAACAAATGACACATTGATTTTGTGTATTTTGTTTTTGTGAATCTTTTGTTTTATAGTAATATTTGGCATTTTGGCAAGGGTGATGTAGATGTTGGGTGGATGGTTGTTAAATATATTGGCTAGTAGTTAGAAACGTTAACATGTTGTAGCTGATTTTTTGACCTCTATTGCTGTTCAGATGGGAGCATCTACTGAATTATCTTCTCATACCAGTCTGGCAGATTGATTCTTCATCAAGACCAGTTTGGACTGGGTACTACAAGGAAAAGGAGACTTGTGGTTTGTGACCAAATACAAGGATTTGGATGATGGAGGAGAGGTTAGAATGGTTGATGGAAGACTGGGCAGTTGATCTGATTGGTCTAGTATGTGTCTAGGGTGATAATGTGCTGAGCATGAGGTCTTGTTTGTGGTTGGGGGATAAGTTGCTTTGAGCCTTTTGAAGGATTAAAGCCAACTTTTGTGATGATTTATATTCTTCCAGACTGTGTGGGCAAGTTTTATGTCTAGACAGTTGGTGTATAGAGCTGAGTCTTGGTTTTTTTTCTGAACTGGATTGCATTGGTCAGTTTATGATGAATTTTGTATTTTCTGGTGGATTGACTTTGAAGATAACTGATGGGATGCTGATGTGGAGGGTTGGTCCTGGTCTTTATGCTTGGTTGCTGGACTGGTTTGCTGTTTTGCTTTGTTTCAGTAGTTGTCTGCTATTTTGGCAAACTGTTGCTGTGAGCTGGGCTGTTACCAAAGGTGCAGGAGCTAAGTTTGGGTATATAGCAAACTAGCTAGGACTGAATGGGTGTTGTACTGGTTTGTTTTTTAACTGGGGATTTTGCATCAAGAGCTGTCTGGGAGTTCAGGAGATGGACTAAAGATTAGCAGACACAATTTTGTAGCTTAAAATGGTTTTAATCATCATGAAGGATTACAGCTATTTTTGAAATTTGTAGAACTATTTGTTCTTTGCTTCTTGTAATTACTTCTTTGATCAATATATTATCAAGAAAAGCAGTACAAAGCACACGTAGTCATACTCACCTAAAAAATGTTTAAAGAAGTATTAATCTATTGGCCGTGCACAATTGAATCAAAAGCAGGGATCTTATTATTATTACTTTTTTTTTTAATCAAAAGGGAATTTTATTTATTCATAATGCAAAATATTGACAAGAAACAAAGGAAAAGGCACAGACGCCCATCCATACCCAGTAAAAGGCAAAACTAACAATGCAAAGCATAAAATACACAACATCAAACTCTAAAGTTTCAGCAAAGATACCCATCACAGTCCAAATCCACAAGCACATATCAACAATAAAGAGCTTTTTATCTTTTCCCATTGTTTCAAACAAATCATAAATTAAGCACCTGATCGATCATACATATTTAATGATCCATCATGAACTAGTAAAACATCCAGTGAAGTTGTAAATATTCTCACAAATGTTGTAAATATACCACTGAAGTTGTAATTATTCTCACAAAATATGGTAAAGATACCACTCAAGTTGTAAATATTTTCATAAATTTGGTAAACAATCCATCAAAGTTGTAAATACTTCCACACCATTAAATTTGTAAATATTCCCGTAAAGATGGTAAATGATCCATTGAAATTGTATATCATCTTGGACTAGTTGTAAAATATTCATAAATTAAGTATGCGTTTTCTGATCGATCATGCATATTTATTGATCGATCATGAACTACTACTATAACATCCATTGAAGTTGTAAATATGTCCACAAATTTTGTAAACATACCACTCCACAAATTTGGCAAAAATACCACTGAATTTGTAAATATTTCCATAACTTTGGTAAACAATCCATCTAAGTTGTAAATTCTTCCACAAATTTGTTAAACAATCCATTCAAGTTATAAATATTCCTTCAATATAGTAACAAAATTACTAGTAAGAGAATATTTACAACTTCAGTGGTATATTTACCAAATTTGTAGAAATATTTACAACTTCAATGGTATGTTTATCAAATTTGTGGAAATCTTTACAACTTCAATTGATTCAAATATTTACAACTTCATGGGGAGAGTTGATCGATCACGGGGACAGTTCATCGATCACAAACTTGCTGTTTTTCAAAAAAAATTGGGGGAGATTACTTCAACCTTGCGATAGATCACAAGATCTTAGGATAGATCGCAAATATTTTGGAGATAAAAAAAAAAATAATTTTGATATATTCTAAAATTTGAATGAATTCTTTATGGGAATAATTACAACCTCAGTGGTACGTGTTACCAAATTTTTTTGTTTAATTGATGTATCAAAAATATGTTTAATAAAAATTCAATTTTAATATTTTTTTAAAATTTATCCAATTTTTTTTAAAAATAAATTTAAAATTGAATTTTTCTTAAACATAATTTAAAATTGAATTTTGAAGAATCAATCAAATTGTTGTTTGATCTATCAAATTCTTGTGATAGATCATAAACATTCATAAAATTTTTCCCACTATTATTGTAAATGTTTAACTAATATTGTAATTTGCACCACTATTGTGGTAATTTTCCCACTACTCTTATAAATTTTTCATTAATGTTGCAATAGAACAATCATAAAGAGAGAGAGACAGAAAGTCGATGATCAATCAAACATATATTTGATCGATCATGGACTAATAATGAATCCATTGAAGTTGTAAAGATTATCACAAATTTGATAAACATACCACTGAAGTTGTAAATATTCCTACAAATTTAATAAATATATCACTGAAGTTATAAATATTCTCACAAATTTGGTAAATGTTCTCACAAATTTTGTAATTTTATTAACTACTGTTGTAAAATGTTCACTAATATTGTAATTTTGTTCATTCTAGTCGTAACCGTTTCACTAATGTTGTAATTTTGTCCTCAATTGACTTAATGGCGGCACACGAGAGAGACATAAAGTTCATGATCGATCACACATATATTTGATCGATCGTGGACTAGTAATGAATCCATTTACAACTTTAATGGTATGTTTACCAAATTTGTGATAATCTTTACAACTTTAATGGATTCATTATTAGTCCATGATCGATCAAACATATGTTTGATCAATCATTGACTTTCTGTCTCTCTCTCTACACCACAAAACTGCTGAGAATATTTACTTAATTTATAGGAATATTTACAACTTCATTGGTACATTTACTAAATTTGTGAGAATATTTACAACTTCAATGGTATGTTTACCAAATTTGTGATAATCTTTACAACTTTAATGGATTCATTACTAGTCTATGATCTATCAAATATATGTTTGATCGATCATGAACTTTCTGTCTCTCTCTCTACACCACAAATTTGGTGAGAATATTTATTAAATTTGTGAGAATATTTACAACTTCATTGATATATTTACTAAATTTGTGGGAATATTTACAACTTCAGTGGTATGTTTACCAAATTTGTGAAAATCTTTACAATTTCAATAGATTCATTACTAATCCATGATCGATCAAATATATGTTTGATCGATCATGGACTTTCTGTCTCTCTCTTTATGATTTTTCTGTTACAACATTGATGAAAAATTTATAAGAGTAGTGGAAAAATTACCACAATAGTTATACAAATTACAATATTAGTGAAAAATTTACAACAATAATGAAAAAAATTTACAACAATAGTGGGAAAAATTTTATGAATGTTTATGATCTATCACAAGAATTTGATAGATCAAACAACAATTTGATCGATTTTTCAAAATTCAATTTTAAAATATGTTTAATAAAAATTCAAATTTAAATTTATTTTAAAAAATAAATTGGATAAATTTTAAAAAAATATTATAATTGAATATTTATTAAACATATTTTTGATACATCAATTAAACAAATAAATTTGGTAACACATACCACTGAGGTTGTAATTATTCTCATAAAAAATTCGTTCAAATTATAAATATTCCCATAAAAGTGGTAAATAAAAGTGAGAATTATTATTATTTTTTAGAATATATCAAAATTATTATTTGGAATATATCAAAATTATTTTTTTTTAATCTCCAAAATATTTGCGATCTATCCTAAGATCTTGTGATCTATCGCAAGGTTGAAGTAGTCTCTCCCAAATTTTTTTGAAAAATAGTAAGTTTGTGATCGATCAAATCTCTCCATGAAGTTGGAAGTATTTGAATCCATTGAAGTTGTAAAGATTTTTACAAATTTGGTAAACATACCATNTCGATCAAATCTCTCCACGATTGATCAAATCTCCCAATGAAGTTGTAAATATTTGAATCCATTGAAGTTATAGAGATTTTCACAAATGTGATAAACATACCATTGAAGTTGTAAGTATTCTCACAAATTTAGTAAATATAATACTAAATTTGTTAAATATTCCCATAAATTTGGTAAATAGTCCCACAAATTTTGTAATTTTATTCACTATTGTTGTAAAATTTTTACTAATGTTGTAATTTTGTTCATTATAGTCCTAAACTTTCCGCTAATGTTGTAATTTTGCCCTCAATTGACTTAATTGTCTTTTCTTGTCTTGTCATTTCAATGTCTTGTCTTGTCTATCAATCGGTGTAAATATACTATCAATTTAGTAAACATACCATTAATGTTGTAATTTGAAATTTTCGGTTAGGTACCGAAAATGTTCTCGGATGAACCGTAGCCTTCTCCTTTTACTAATACCATATGACATGTCATTTCAATGTCTTGTCATGTCTACCAAATCGGTACCAAACAAGATGCTAGTTCACTCTTTGTCAATTTTTTTTTTAAAGATACATTAATGAACGTTCACTTTTGGTTTACCATAGATTAACGGTGGACATTGAATTTTGGTATGATACCAAAATTCTCAATGATGTACGTAGTGGGGTCCCCAAAATGGTAATCGATGTCCACCACCATGTGTTCAGAAATAGGAGAGGATGGAGA